GTGTCTGAGGGGGGCACACTTCTGTGCCCCCCTCAGAAGTTGAAGATTTTTGTTTAAATTGATGCATAAATGACTCGATTTAAGTTCAACTAGGCCTTAAAGGAACAAGAAGGCAGGGGTGGGGGGGGGGGGTGTCACAATATTTTTCAGAAGGGTCGGTATTAGTGACTCGGTATAGATGAATTTGTCATTTCCATTGAACAATCAGCCATAAGGTTTAGAGATACAAGGCATTAATTTGATTTCTTTCAGTTGGCGAAAGGTTTTTCATCGTAAACTAATGTTTGAATTCCGGTAATGAGAATGTAATGTTGACGCGTCTAAATCTGATCGCCTGATTTGGCTTGCTTTTTCTCTCTTTTTCTTTTTTATTCTATCTCTATTTTTTCCCCTCTCACCCACCCTCCCTCACGTCATATTTTACATGTTATAGTTATCTTTCTCCTTGCCTTTCTCCTTTTCTTTTATTCTCCTTCTTTTCCTTTCTTCTCCTTCTTTTCCTTTCCTTTTCCTTTTCCTTTTTCTCTTTACCTTCCTCTTTCCCTTCTCAAAATGATAGGGAGGGCGGCCGCCCCCCCCCCCCCCCTGTGATCTGAGACAAAGTTACCGGATCCCTTTAAAACATATCTCTACATGTCTCCATTAGGCCTAAACAAAAAAGATCTTGTATTGCCATTTAAGTGCCAAAACACAAAACATGGGTTGGTCGGTTGGAAATCTTCTTCTTCTTTTTTTTTACTTCCTCTTTGGGCTGATATTTCTCAGTTTTGAATGCTTTCATACATTTTTTTTCTATAACAAAAACATTAAAAAGATTTTTTTTTTTGTTAAAGCCGACCGTAGATTTCAAGATTTTGGGGTCGGTCGCAAAGAGCGATACAACTTTTTTTAAGGCCTTATTCAGGAGGATTGAAAGGGTTAAAGGGCAAGTCCACTCAAAAAATAAATTACTTTCAATAGAAGCAATCAGACAAACCCAACAAAAAAGTTTGAGCAAAATCGAATAGTTGATAAGAAAGTTATACATTGTTAATGACATGAAAACTTTGAAAATCACTAGACAAATTGGCAACTCATTTATGAGTCTGTGACGTCATTGCCTCACTATCCACCTATTGTTTTCTTTATATTTGTAATATAAATTTCCCATTAAGGTGCCCAAACTTGTTTAAAGGGCAAATCAACCCTTGCAATTACTTGGTTTGTGCAAAAGCATAAAATAACATAAACAGAATGGCAAAAGTTTGAAATGAATCGGACCAATAGTAAGGAAGTTATGAATGTTTGAAATATGAGATCACTAAGCCTATGCGAATCTCAAATTGGTAGTTTGGCAATTGGATTGTGACGTAGGGCGTGGATAACATTTGCCGTGTATGAAAGTATCATTAATAACAGTTTTTCTTGTAAGTTCCTTCTCCCATGGGGCACTACTCAAAATATATTATAGATAGAATATCATTATATGTCCTCTAAAATAAAAAGACCCTCCTGAGCAATTAATTTTTGAAAAATTTAAATTTGAGTCATTCTATATGTTGGAACAGATGAGAAAGTAGTCTGGCACTACATTACATTGACATTACCGCTTCAGCCAATTTGAAGTGCCCACACGTATAGTGATTACAACTTTCAAAAAATTATAGCTTTCTTATATTTAGTCAGATTTAATGGTTCTCTGATTGTTCTGCTTTCTTTTACATGTAGAGTAGTTGTATATTTGGGTTAGATTTCCCTTTAACCATTCACACTACCGTAATAAATGGTGTATAAACCGCACCTTTTTGCCGCAGAAAAAAATTCAAAGTCGGGAGTGCGGTTTATACGCGGTACACCAATTTTTAATTATTTTTTAAAAGTTTTTATTTATTCCCCTCCACCTGGCGCTATGCCTGTCAATGTCTCCCAGCTCAGTAATTGGTGTGTTAAATCACCACTCAGAAACTAGAACAACACTCAGATTTGTCTGTCATCTTGGTTTGGAAGTAATCTTTCTGATAGATCTCAATATGTAGTTTATAATAATAATTCCTCCAATTTCTCTTCTATTACACGGCGTACCACAAGGTTCTATCCTAGGTCCTCTACTGTTTTTTTTAATTTACATTAATGATCTTACACATTCAGCTGTACCTCACAGTTAAATGAAAGGCCTTCCCGTGTGGGTTTTTTAACACGGACCTGGCTTGCTGCCGACAGAGTCAGCATTTAAAAAAAAAAAATTTAGGGCGAAAAAGAGGGGTGCGGTTAATACACGAGACAGTTTATACAATGTAATTACGGTAGTTACTTCATATCTAGTCTAGACCAGACGCAACCTATATCTTTAATTTATAGTGTAAATATGGGAACAGAGGAATATGGAAAGGCTTTGACAACAACAAAAAAGACAAATCAAAATATGATACCAGGTCAGTAAGCAACTCTGACACCTACAGGTGTACATGTAATATTTTTTTAGATTTCTGTTTTTTTAAGGAGACCACATCCAAAAAGTCTCAAACATAAGAAAATCAGAGGGGCCAATAACAGCAGTCAACAAGAACAACAACAACAGCACAAATCAAAGCTGGTCTTGATGTTTTAAAATGAGGCCAGATACCACCTTTTAAAGTACAAGTCCACTTCAAAAATAACTGACTTACAATAGAAGCAGAAAAATAAGACAAACTGATCAAAAAAAGTTTGAGCAAAATCGGATAACTAATAAGAAAGTTATGAATTTTTGAAAAACTATGTAAAACTATGGAACAATAGAAATCACTGTACACAAATTGCCAATTTTGTTATCAGTTTATGACGTCATGTCCTCACTATTTATCAATTGCTTTATATAGTTTAATCCCATTATTTCCCTTGTTATCCCCAAAAGAATTGACATCGCTGTTTTGCACATCGGGAAGGGTGACCGGGTACCAGCGAAAGTATTGTAGATTTTCGATAATCAAGCAATATTGCATCAACAGTTGAAGTTCGCGGATGACAGAGCAATACGAAAAACAATATTGATCTGCCATCCTGTTACTGTGCTAAAAATATTGAATACACTGATTTATTGTACCACTTGGAAGCCTTACGTGTATATAGATAATTATTATATTATATTGGCTGGGCTTGAGGGGTACATCAGAAATATTGACCAAGCTAAGATCTTATTGCCCAGAGTCGAAGACGAGGGCAATAGCCGCAATAAGGTCTAAGCGCGGTCAATATTTCTGATGTACCCCAAAAGAAGCCCTGTCAATATAATTATTATTACCTACTGTACATGTACATGTATACAAGGCATTTTTTTACAAATGATATACAACTTTGGTATCAAGCATGATTTTTACACACGTCTGTTTGCCGGTCCTTCTGATGTCAGGTTATTCAGGCAGGTATGTAATTGTGACGTAAATTGTTACCGCGCATTTGTTACACTTTAACGCCTACACAATACTGCGCATATGCACTGTAATAAAAGCGCACTGTACCTTTCCTATTGCACTTTCCTGTACCTCTCCTATCGCACTTATATATTTATCATGTATTTCATCTTTTACACAAGCTGAGCCTTGAGCATTTGACTGTGTCAAGTAGATTTGGCGCCTTATAAATCTAATGTATTAATATTATTATTAAAGAGGGCAATATGGGAAATGTTGCCCGCTCTGGTTTCGTATTCGGAGTAGCTAGCAGAATATGGCTTTTTATTTTGCAGCTAAAATGCCTTGTATAGGTAATAATATAAAATATTTCCATCTTGTATGTTAATATTATTCCTACTCTACGTTAAAACAGTCTTTGATGTGTTCACAATTGTGAGTATATTGTTTTTAAAAAGGATTTTCTACAACAACTTAGATCCTAATCCTAAAAAGGACATTAAAATTATCTTGTTTGCTCACTGGAGCTCTTTATGGACATTTTGGATGACATGAAATGAATGTTCGTTAATATGTCAAGAAGTGATGGTTTACGACTCAATTTCAAGGATGTCTAGCTACTCCAACAGTTCGTTTTCGAGTTTGCTGTGTATCCTCTGGTGGCTAAATTAAGACAATTGGACTGGCACAAGACATCCACACATTAAGCAGGAAAATTATCAGGGCTACTTTTTTCTATTTCAACTGTTCAGATGACCTTTATTGATTTTCAACATATCAAAATACCACTGTACAAAGTGCCTACTTCTCAGCACATCTGCTGGTATGAGGTCCATACCGCTAACGGTTAGACTTCATGCATTGTAAGTGTGTGCCAAACTCTGAAATTGTGATCTATTTCCATCATGATTGCCACAATTTTTATATATTTTTCAGGAATAGAGGTGTGAAATCAAAGCTTGGATTGTGATTGTTCTGGCCATGTATACTGAATTTGATAATTGCTTTTCAAAGTAAGTTTTCACAACCAAGTCTAACTTTGAGACAGTGTGAGAGTGGTTTAAATATCTATCCCAATACATATCCAGTGCAGTGCACAGTCTGTGCTTGCCCGCACGCTATCAATCTCCACTCTGCATGCCGCCTGCCGTAGCAGTGAAGCTAGGAGAGAATCATGTAGCAATTGTAACGGGGGCGATTTGGACCATTTCCTTTTTTAAAGCGCCCCAATAATCTTTATTTTTCGCCTCTTTCAGGGGCTCTTTTTGGTATAAGTTCCTTCATGTACTGGCCTGGCTCAATGTTGATATTCTTGTTAGTTTACATCAAGTGTAAAACGAATATAGGCCTACTGAAGGAGAAAAGCTAAGAAATGAATAATTCATAGAGCTGGAATACCAAATGGCAATATCCTGAAAAGTGGCATTTCTGTCAAGAGTTTAACATTCATCCTAAGAATGAAAAAGCTTTCAGAGCCTGCATGCATTGTTCAACATTGGACTAAAATCAAAAACCCTATTTGAAATGCTGTATTATTGTTCAGCGTCTTCTGACCAACCTACATGTACATGTATTTCACAACAGTACAGTAACAGGAGAGGGTTTGCATCAAAATTGACACAAGACACTTACCTGAGAACAGAAGGAGATCTCACTGAACTTCTTGGTAAGTGCAAAGGATTTCTTATCCAGACTGATCACTGTAAGTGCACTTCTCCCTATCTGGAAAACCATTGTTCGATTATGAGTACTCTCTTTGGCTGCCATCAGTTTGGCATATGAGTCTGTACGCAGGAGTGTTCCGAATGTACGCCCCGTCGTCGCAGCGGAGTCGACATCATCCTGAGACTCCGAGCCTGACAGCGGTAGGGAATTTTTTCGTGGCAATTCTGGGTCGAGTCTTGAAACCGGTGTGTCTACCAGTGGTAGAGATAACTTTCGTTGCATCTCAGGGCTAAGTCTTGAGTCGTTTGAGTTGTTGTTCTGTATGTTCTGGATAACTGATGGTAGATGGATGTCAGAGTGCGACTTTGGTATGTCTTCCTCCACAATATCAAGAGAGGATGACTTTCTCTGCGATGTATCGGATGATGAACGCTTCCTGTCATCAGAAGAGAAGTGCCGCTTCCGCCGCTGTATCATCATCTCATGCTCCTTGAACTTCTCAATGGACTCGTCGATGAAGGTGGGAGGAGCCCGTTTATGACTGACGGATATCTTGCCGCAATAGAGGACCTCGAACATGGTGGAGTTGGATTCCTTGAGGATGTCCATGGCTTCAGTGATTCCATCTGCTTTAGCTGACTGTGGGATGTTCTCCTTGTCCGATTCCCGGATGCTCGTCACAACATCATGCACCTGCAGCAATGAATAAAAGACAGTAAGAATATGATTATGACTATGACTATTGCCTCCGCATATCATCAATTATATACCTCTCTTTAGTATGTTGAATAAATCAAGTCATCTGATTGGTCGAAATTGGAGTCGTGATTTTAGCCATGCTCGCCTACCAGTCAATAGTTTTTTAAAAGATGCCTGCATACTGGTCAATAGTTTTTTTAAAGATGCCCATTGCCCCAGGTAACGAGGCCAAATAAATAAACTTTGCTGAGATCCCCATTGGTTTACGTGTAAACAGTTTCTTTGTGCGAGCACGCGCGGATACAAAATGCAGTGCAGTGTGTGTGCGATTCCCGAATGATCGTAACATTCAGGCAACTTTCCAGCAAAGATTTTACAGACAGTGTGTAAGATTTTCTGTGATGTTGTAACAACTAGTCTTTACTCAAGAAAAGGATAACGTAAGTATTTCTTTGTAGATTTTTTTTTAAAATTTGGTATATAAAGGATATATGGACTGCTTTAATATTTGAAGCATAGCTAGCTGCATGTTTCTATACTGGCGATCTGGGACGTTACATCCTGCCGATGACCCCTCACTGCGCCGCCTCCCCCGGCGCGCCTCAGGGTCATAGCAGGATGTAACATCCCCTTGAGCCTATAGAAACAGCGATGCCTCTCATAGCAGTTAATATATACTAGGCAATGGTACAACAAATGCAGCAGTCAGCCAGTCACAACATATATCTGAATAGTTCACACCCATCATGGCAAGACACTTGCAGAATATGATGACACCAAAAGAAAAAAATGTGTGTTACCTCAGGATCATTAAGGCGGTTATTATTATCCAGATAGTCCCTCTCCATCCGATCAAGAAAATAATCTGTCTCAACTATGGTCTCCATTTTCAATACCTCATCTGAAGAAATACTCATTTTGGAATGATTCTTATCACAGATCTACACCACTATAAGAATAAGTTGTGCCACTTTGTATTGACATGTCATTTCTTACAGGAGCTAGTCATTTCTCTCTAGATCTCACTGTCAAAATGCACTGCAAACATTCAACATGTCCAATGAAACAAGCAAACAAGTGAATTCCCAGGCCAAGCACGAGACACATCTGTTGTCGATAATTAAATGGACAGCATAACACCCCCTGTAAAGAAGGAAGTAAAAGAACTCTGTTTTATATCTTCTCTGTACCTAGTTATTGATTGATCAAAGAGGTAATAAACAATTTTAAAAGAGCAGGGTATTCTCACTGCCAAAACAAATTGTTCTGTTTGTTTTAAGTTTATAACCAGTTAAAGGGTATTATTGACAGGGAGGACTGAATAGCCATTCTCAGTTTATTTTTAAAGTCACTTATAGGGAAACTCTGTATGTTACAGAACCCTTCTCAGTTAAAGGGTATTGCTTAAGGTGAATGTTTGTTATACATATTCTCTCAATTGTAAGACTATCAATTAATGACTCTGAAGTTTCTTAGAAACATTTGAGCCCAAAAGATTTTTTTTTTTTAACTATGCTACTTGAATTAACATAATACATTTACCTTCAAATTATCTTGATGGATTCACAAAATAATGTTAATGACTAGATAACAAAGGACCCAGGCATCCTTTTGCATGTGATCCTCTCCCTTTATTTCTTTTCTCCCTATCCCCCCTTTATGACCCTTTTCTATTTATTGTTTGTTTTGTGAGATTCTCTCCCCCAACCCTCTCTCTTTTTTTTTCTTTTTCTCTCTTACCCATTGCTCGCTCTCTCTCTCTCTCTCTCTCTCTCTCTCTCTCTCTCTCTCTCTTCTCACTTTACACACTTAAAAATCCATTGCTCCCATCAAAACCCAGTAAAGAAATAACAACATATCCTTGAAACCAGACCTCATATACATCTATCTCAACAACATCTGGCATAGGTACTCAAAAAAAAAATGGAAAACAGCAAAAGCAAAATCAACAACAACTTGCAGTCCAAAAGTAATAATCATTTTGGGGCTCCGCTCTTTAAGTCTATAAACTCGAGATTTTCATTGATATAAATTCATTTTATCACAGCAATGGGAACTTCAAGGCGCAGAGGCAATGAATCCTCCTTGTTTTTTAGTTATTCTATTGACGGTAAAATGGACTTTTATGGAGTTGCTCCAGGTAATTTGCTTATTCCTCTTTCAAATGACTGTTATAAATTTCTCATTAGCTAAGGGTCAATCAGTCACAGACCCTATGGAGAGTCATATATAATATATCCAGTTCATATCAGGAACTTAAAGCCTATCTGCACTAGTTTGGCCAGGAGGGATTAGACCTCCCTGCATGGTCACTGACAGGTGGTTATCTCATCAAATCAGCTCTCAATTAACATAAGAAAAAGGGGACCATGGGGGGGGGGGACCAATGGTCACCGATTAGGCCTTGTTTACTATATAGAGGGTGCAAGTAGCTATGAGTAGTGCAGTGGGGCTTTAAGTTAAGTTCATAGGACAGAACTAGTCAATCACAGCCTAAGAGTACAAACCAGGCACATAGGCAAATGAAGTTTGAAAGTAAAGGTGTGCATGGCAAGAAGATAATTTAGATCGTAGATTTGTAGTACAACCATGTGGATAGTCATTAAAAGGACTGTTTGTATTCTTTCGTGTTGATTGAGAAGTCCTGTAGAGGACTGAGAAAAGGCAATCCACTCAGCTCAAATAATCACATTATCATTAACTTCATTTAAAGGGTTAACAAGAAACAGAGATTAATGCAGGTCATAGTTGAATAATATAGCCAATTTGATACTCCTATATCTCATTCGCAAACAGTTGCTTCTGGCTTTATTTCATCAACAGTATAGGGTAAGGTTTAGGGTTGTAATTAGGTATCTACATGTATCCCCGTGTCCACACACAACATTTTCTGTGATTAGGCGTGATTAGTTATACAATGAAATTGTGTGTGTGGACGCTAGCGCTTACTAGCTATATGTCGTATAACGAGACGTCGTATAACGAAACGATACCCAAACATGCGTTTCATTATACGACATATAAAATAATCACGCCTAATCACCAAATATGTTGTGTGTGGACGTAACTAGTATAACTAGTCGAACTAGAACAGTATAACTGGGTGGGGCTTAACCTGACCTCGAGCGAAAGGAGACCTGACCTCTCATTTCCGCTTCCATTTCATGATCGCAGTAGCAAACTGCGCACCTATACGACATTTCGCTGTAGAGTTTCTTTCTTCTGTGTGTGGACATCCTGGAATTTATACGACGTTTCTTGTGTGTGGACACTCTGAAATTTATACGACGTTTCGTTATAGAGTTCCGGGATAAATTGTTTTGTGTGTGGACACACTGTAAGTTGGGTTTAGGGTTAAGGTTAGGATTATGGTTAGGTATTGTGTTGGGTCCAGGGATGAAGTTGACGATTTGTTTGGTGCAGGAAAGTACAATGAAGTAATTGTCACAAGAATTATGTCAGTTAAAACGGTCAACCGGTCAACCGGTCAACCAGTTAATTTTATCCCTGTAAATGTCAAAACCTGGTGTAAAAGTAAAAAGAGAGCCGCCATTTTTAAAGGTAATACAAAGTTTTGGGAAATTTTGAAAATTGGCTGGATAGTGATTCTTTACAATTTGATATATTTGGATGCCCTTATGGATGTACATATTATAAGCACTAGAAAATTTAGCCCCGAAAACACTTCTCCTTTCAAGAAAACTTGAATATTAAAATTTACTGGTGCTCCCTATAAATTTTGATAAATTTCAAATAGCGCTTATGGCCATACAATGGTAGCTGCGACAAAGAAAATCTCAGAATATGTAGTTGTGATATATAATTTCCAAACAGAAATAAACAATTGGTTGATTTTAGTCAAGAAACATTGTTTTATGGCTCAAATAATAGCTTGTCCTTGAGAGGGAGCTATACAACATAAAGAGTTTATTATTTACAATTTCAAAACTTTAGACTCAATTTCAACCGCAACAACGATCACTAAATATTGTAGGATTGCATGCTTCCAATATGTTCATTTGAACCAAATTCATGACCCCAGCATACCAAAACTTTGTATTACCTATAATCATGCGGATTAAAGACAATTATGTTGGTATACTTAAACTGCTTTCTAAACAATACTTATTCACAACATACCAATCAATAATTTATTAAAGACAAACAAAACATATTTAATCTTAAGAACGCATGCTTCTTTTAAAAGCTGTTTTTTGTTGTTGTAATCTTCATAATATTCATAATTTCCCATTATTTTTCCTATTTATTTCACTTTCGCTGGGGGGATGGGGGCAGGGTAAACGTACCGCTGGTAATTGGCTGGGGGGATGATTGTCCAGGGGGTAATTGTCCTAGAACCTTCGGCAAGTCATATACCCACATTACTTCAAAAACTTTAATTCACTTCCAATTCAGTTTAAACGATTAACAAATGACATAATCTTTGTCCGTGATTCTATGACATACCCAGCTCATATCAGTAATTTCATTTCTGTAAAATAGTCCAAGAGTGTCTGCTCACAGAAGTATATCAAGCTATACACAATCAACCCATTTCACATAAATAAATTCAATTTGGTTCTGCTGAAAGGTCCAAGCCACCACAAAGTCTGCTGTACCAAGTGGTTATCAGTAAATTCAGTTCAATGAAGTTGAGAACCAAGAGCACTGGCTGCTTGGTTTCACTGTCATCTTGATTGATGTCCCAAACTCTTTGGATGAATATTAAATAATATTTAATGGCATTATACTAATTTTTAATCTTTTCCAATAAAGGTTGGTTTGCTTGTTTTTAATTGTTTAGTTGCACTTAGATTACGTACATACATCGCCTGAAAAAAAATATTAAAAAGTAGATGAACAGATACATAAATCAACAGATAAGGATACAAACAACACAAACAAAGCTTTACCAATTACTGGTAGTTACAATGTAAGTCATCTCTAAAAAAAAATGCATGATGACAGAAACTTTCATTTATTTACCATTTCAT